TCCTCTTAGAGATCCACGAAATGCCGGGGGTGTACTCTAGAACTGGAAATATGTCAAGCAGGCTATGTTCTATGCAGAACAGTTCCGTGAGGTGGGCAAGCATATCATGTATTCTGTCGCTGGTCGTCTCCGTCGTCGGTTCTGCACGGGTGCTATAGAGCATCGTGGACCAGGCACTACTCACAAAGTAAGAAAAATGAGAGACTATGTGCTCTCCATCCAGCATTCTGTATAGCATCTGCTTGCAGCCCGCGATATGTACCGGACGATATCCCTTCGCGTTCCGCGGATTGAGGATACTAGATTGGATACGGTGGAAGCTCTGCCATTTGCTGTCATATGGCAAAAGTGCAGGGAACCGAGACTTGGCATAGTGTTCACCGAAAACAATGAAACGCGGTCGACTGCTAGAGATACGAGATCTCCGTTGGATGAGGTCATGTACAACATCCCGGTTTCCCAGAACGATGACTGTCCGGGATCCCAGCTTGAGCGATATGATGGGCCCGTATGTGGTAAACCACTCATGAAGCTTTTCCCAAGGTGCATCCTTGGGGATTTGCAGCGCATTTCCAACCAATGGGACAGGCTTGGGTCCCGGGGGCAATGGTCGTTTTCGACAAGAATAGATCCAATTATAGCCCACAACAAACAGTAGCGCAGCAACACAAGTCTTGACCGCTATGGATACCATTTTTTCTCTCTCGAGGATATTGGGCAACAAACACAAGCCAGAGAAAAGGATTAACAAAAAAAAAGCTCGTTCAATTAGAGAGGTAAAAACTTGTTGGAAAAACTTCGGATTCTGGATGTCGTTTCCAAGATTTACTTTTATGGGACAAAGTATCAAAAACAAACCTACTTCTCTCACGCAATTCATAAGACACTAAACTAGCATTGAACTCAAACCTAACGAGTCAACACTCCATCCTGGTGGAATAATAGCCGGTAAACATCTGACAGCTACCCCTAGCTAGAGTCGGGCTGTTTGATATGCATATGACATCACACAACGATGAAAGTAGCAGAGTAGGTGTGTGCGTGGAATGTTTGTGGAGTCACAAAAATGATATCACATTGGATCACGCATATTGAGGGGAAAGCAAGTTCGTCAGAGAGTCTTTGTATATATCTGGATATATATATTTGTTTTCACTCATGGGCCTTGTTATTCACTGCATAGTAGTCACTTGAAAGAACTACCCTTAAAGAGTGGTGAACTGAATACCGGACAATTTCAACTTTGAAATACGTGGTGATCTCAAATAGGCTGTCAAGACAAAGTATTGACAATGGATCTTACCGCCTGATTCAACTCTGGTGCGGGTGAAGGATAAAGAAACCGATTGCCTTGAAGTGTAGACGGAGCTGTAAGATTTGCTGCATAGTTATTCGTGCAAGCAAGAGAGAGAAGTGGACTCCGCCCTTTTCATTGCAGTTGCAGATCAAAGGGGGTCGAAGGAATCCTATGGAGAGGCCTGCACAGCGATTTCTCTGAATTAGGGAGGTAAACCGGCTGGCATATGATATCACCAACAGATGGGCTGAGTCTCTGGCCGTCCGTTATGCGGCATTCCCTATCGAAAAATTACCTTGTGAAATCACTTCCTCGAAAACTTCCCTTTCCCACGTCGAGTGGCGAGGTCAAAAGTCACCTGGCAAAGTACCAAGATGATCCCTTCAGCGCTATGTGCTTTAAGTTTTTCGTTCCCAGTTCCTGTAAATCCTCTTACCTGACTATTGCAATTTGCCGCCTGGTACAGAGCAAAATAAAAGCCATGGGAACTATTCCAGTCGGTGTTCCTCTGCCGTCACTCGATATCTTGGTCCATTTATCTCCTCATTTCCTTTCATCCGGGTCAACGTCAACATGCATTTGTCGTTTTATCGCCATAATGTTGAACAATTTGTTCGGGAGACGGGTTTCGTCAGGAAACGGTTTATATTCGACGAAAAACTGCATTCTACCCTCAAAAGCCGGCTAATGGAGTTGGATGACTGTCCAGAGGGAGCTTATAAATACACGGAATTGAGCACGGTTATTGCGGGATGCTTTTGGGGCGGGACGACCTTTGAGGCTCGAGTTGCATTCGCCCTGGTCAATGTATTTGGCATAATGCTGGATGACCAGGGGCCTTCTCATCAGGAAGAATACCTTCAGTCGGTTGAGGAACATGCCTCGGGGATGCACATTTCGTGGGTAGTTTTGTGCCAACTGATGGAACACACGGACAAACTCATGTCGGTGATACCGTGGTTTCAAGCTTATCTTGTCAAGCGAGCTGTTGATGGGTTTGCTTCCTTTACCTATCTGGAGGCGTTTTCTCCAGAGAGCTTCAAACACGGAGATAACGCCAGTACAGATTCGTTTTATCGTCAGGGGACGAGTGCCTATGAGCTTTATGTCATTGGTGTTTTCCCGTTTGATGTTCACTCGAAGGAATATCTCTTCCTTTTGCCGCATATGGGAAAGCTCGTGAATGAGGTCAATGACTTCCTTTCTTGCTACAAGGAGTCTATTGTCGGTCGAGAAGAAAATGCATTCAATCGCCGCGGCGCAGGCAGTGGGAAGTCCTTGGAGGAGGTCCTGGTTGACAGTCGTCGACGTTGTGTTGAAGTAATTCGGTTCTTACGGAACGCGGAGGGGTCATTAAGGTTACGACAGGCTCTGAACTCCTTCATAGACCGGTTTTTGAATTATCATTTTGATGTCGATTATCTGAGGTCGGAATCCAATGCCCTTCCAAGCTTTGTCGGGACCAGGTGGAATGTTAGAAAATTTCGGATGCTTTTCTGTTTCCCTTGGGGGGAAACAATTGTCTCTTTATTCTTGTATGGTTAGACACAGTTATCTCCAGGAGCTCACTCATGGAAGTGCAGCTTGGGCTGGTGTTGAGGTAGTAAGAAGAGACGGCACCAAATGAGAGTAACAGATTGAAATATTAAAAGTAGCTGGTTACGGTTGAAAGATATTAGCCTAGAGTACACATATCCTTATAATTGAGCAATATATTCAGCTATCTCGCAGCATCTCTCTACGTGTCACTACAAGACCTTCCTTTAGGTGAGAATATATAACCTTGGAATCTTGAAGTTAGTAGAAAACTGCAGGGCAAACATGAGATATCTGAGAAAAGAATTTCTCGGTTATTTTTGAAATAACCTTTTCTATATAAAATCTATTTCGACATAATATCCTTCTAATTTATTATATTACTAGAAAAAGAGTTAGAATTATCTATTCTTTTCTTGTGAATATAAGCACATACGACCACAGGGTGTGGAAAACAGGGCTTCCCGTCCGCTCAGCCGTACTTAAGCCACACGCCGGCAGGTTAGTAGTTGGGTGGGTGACCACCAGCGAATCCCTGCTGTTGTATGTTTTTTTTTTTTTCAATATCTCATCTTTATTCTCCATATGTAGTAGGAGTTAAGATAATAACAGTAGAGTAGACTGACTAGGTTAGAACTTGGACAAAATACCTGGCGGCTGCTAGTCCAGGTCGAGATAACACTATATATACTATCAAGGTATAATCGGATATAGATACCTAGTCAAGAAGGCACTACCTAGAGTATTGAAATGAGAACTACAGGACATTACTCTTCAGCCAAGTGATCAATCACCCTGAAGATAAAGATGGAATGACCGATGTACTTTCTGGTCTTTACGTTTTCATCGTTTTTGATCTCCGATAGGAACGCACAGTCTTACATACGATGGCGCAACGAGAAAGTTCAAGTAAAACTGGCCCAAACTCGGTCTACCAACTAAAAGAGACGTTTTTGTCTATACCACCAAGGCCAGAATTCTTTTTTTTTTTTTATCTCACCTCTTACTTTCGATGCCTGTTTTAAACAAAAATCCCGAGCGAGAACGTTCAATGAATAAAATCTGGATTCTACGCAGTCTAGGATGCCTATAACATCGCTACAATAGCAATACTGCGCCAATGAGTGGCGAATTTTTGCATCAAGTAATATAGCATCATTGAACTGGAGACAAAAGGCTTAAGCTTCAGGAAATGGTGCAAACTTGAAGCGGCAGAAAATAATTTAAAAAACTTCCCAGGGCGAAGAATACCCACTACGTCAGGGCTCACAAGTCGGGACCCATTCACTCAAGCTCTGTCTTTAATCTTGCCGACTCCGGGGGCTCTAATCCTGGAAATCTACAGTATTCATGTAGATTGGTGAAAATTCATCTCTTGGCGATGAGGTATTAGTTAATTGGTCGATTCCCATAATATTCACAGGTTGCGTGACTGAGGTATTTCAAGTGGGAAGCTATTCTTCCATCTAGGAGCGCCACGGTCGGTATTAATCACAGTTGAGATGACGGATTGTGCTTTGCTGAGATACTCCGTTGTTTGATCGGTCTGGTACTGAGACCGGGCACTACTAGCGCCTACTGGGACCTGTTGGCTAGCCAAGGCAAAGACGACGTTGATGGCAGCCCATACTACTGGGTCGCGTTGTCGGGGTTGACGGGCATAGCATTCACCGACTAGACGCAAGAGCGTGTCAGCATGAAAGAGCGGCAGGACCGAGTTGTAAGTGTCGAGAAATATTCCGACCATGGCCATGGCTTTTTGTAGAGGGGCTAGTTTCATTGAGCTGATTGTATGATCGTTGTCCTCAGGGTGTTGATATTCAACATGGGCGGCTATTGTCGTCTCCTCGAGCCCTTGTGTCGGATTTCGCGCCTGATCTTGATGACCACTCCGAGCCTGTCAATTTTTTGATTGAGTACCTTCGTTATTCCAACGCCTGAGAATACGTATCGGCTGAGTCTCTAAGCGTTGTACTTCTGCTTGCAGGTTCTGGACTTCGTTCGCCTCCTTAGCCCCGCTACAACGTTGTGCTCCGGGCTTTGACTTCCACTAAGGTGGTGTACGAACTAGAAATGCATCAAAATTGTGTACCCTTCTGGTATCATCTGCCTCTTGGTATTACCCATTTTGCATAGTCCAAAAGACTTCGCAATATCGGCACCGCTAGCAGTGGTAGCTCAGTGGTAGAGCAGGCGAGTAAGTTATACCAGGACAGGTCTTTGAAATTTGAATTTCATCACTAACAAATTAAACAGTTGCAGTTCGTCAGGTCAGGTGTTCAATCCACTTTCGCTGCTTTCTTTTTCTTTTTTCTTTTTTTTCCCCCAGTTTTGTAGGTACCTAGTTAAGTTAGCATGTATACCTACCGCCTTCCCGGTAACAGCTGGCATCTTATACTGTGCATATTAAAATTGTTATTATTATTTTACGTAGGCACCTGAAGAGACAGATGCTTTCTTTTTCAAGTTGGGCATGTGCATACAAGGGAGAGTCACAGTCAATGACAATCTAATGGAGGGATATCAGACTTGAAAAGATTCTCTCTATTCTTTTAAAATATGACATTCATCTTATCATGTTCAAATAAGTTATATCTGTACAGAATAGATGTAGAATACAGTATTATCACATACGTAGGATCAACAAGATATTGCCCTTAAATAGGAAGGCGGTCGCCGCTCGAGGGACAAGGTTGGGCCCGTTATTTACAAGTCCTCAGGCTATCTCGTCAACTCTTTCTCTCTCCCACCCTGTACAGCTATTCTCTAATCCTATCAATATTGTCGCCACTCAGCAGCGATAGCTCAGTGGTAGAGCAGGCGAGTAAGTTATACCAGGATAGGGCTATGCAATTTGAGTCATATCACTAACAATCCAACAGTTGCAGTTCGTCAGGTCAGGTGTTCAATCCACCTTCGCTGCTATCTTTTTTGTCTATTTTTTTTTGATCTTATCATATATGCTACCCGGTCTTGTTCATCATTAAAGTTTATATGGTCTAGTGTTGGTCTCTTTTCAATTCTATCTGCCAAGTGACTCCCCATTCAAACCTCAACTTACACCTGCTGACACCCTTGTTTGCTCTTTCAGAGGTGTCTCCTATCTTCGGTAGTCTGGTGCCATACATGTATCTCATAAATACAGAAAAAGATAACCTTGGCCGCGGAACAGCTGTCATAAATTTCTCATCAAACCACACCCTTCAAATATGGAATGTATTATGATGGTTCCTCCTATTATCCTCTCACATGAATTAATTATGGTAGAGGCATGTTCTGCGTAGAGACAAGATAGTAAGTATATCTGAGTGATCCAATCACGTTCCGAGGGGGACAAGTATCCTCCAAGACTAACTCTATTTTCCGATGGCGATGAAGATCAGCTCTTTGATGGAGTTTGATGTCCAATCGAGTGTATGTTGCTACGTGAAGAGACCCGGTTGACAGGTAAAGCGGTAGGCGGACTTGAGCGGGATGTGAGAAAAAAAAAGAAAAAAGCAGCGAAAGTGGATTGAACACCTGACCTGACGAACTGCAACTGTTGGATTGTTAGTGATATGACTCAAATTGCATAGCCCTATCCTGGTATAACTTACTCGCCTGCTCTACCACTGAGCTACCGCTGCAAGACGGTGACAAATCTTCCCATAATATGAAATGAGAATCTATTCGAAATATAATTTAAAAGCATATGAATTATACCTTCCTTTACATCGGACGTGTTAAATGCCAGCGATAAAGTCGATACAATTACACTCTATAGAAGCTTATAAATTTTCGGAAAGTTTCTCAAGTTCATCACATCCCTGTAGATACCGATTTGTGTATTTGCCATATCTGAGTAGCTACTTTACGTAGACCTACCGAAAAAAATGCATACTAATGCTTAGGTACCTAGCAGCTAATGGGCTACATGTAGGTGCTCGACAATTTTCTTACCTTGAAATGAGGGGAGTCTATACTTTCAGAAACAGACCCACTTCTACTATCCGTACTACATTTCATCTTTCTCTCTTTCCCTCTCGCCGTTTACGTTAGCCTCAAAAACCTGCCCACCAGCCTCCACCCAAATTTATCTACTTCCATCAATCCATTACTACCTACAACCCTCGTTTCGACCATGGATATTAATCAGAGATCGGCTATATTTCATTTCTTCGGCGATGTCATGCTAGAAGATCCGGCGCTATTCCTACAAGAAGACGATTTTGAAGTTGTCCAGCGATGCATGCCTTTGATACGCACTATGGATATTGAATGGAGGCGTCGTATGTTAACTTCCTCTGTTTTGACTACCTGGGTTATTATTTAATAAATTGGAAGGACAGGACCACCATCTGACTGGAACATCACCCATCGATTCGAAGAATTTGTTCGCCAGGAGACCGAAGTTTGGCTTCAGCTTGGGGTCGATCGATCACAACCAAGAGAATTCCTTCTGAACCCAAGTGGATCGATAAATGCCCCCCTGGCGCATCACCTTCTGAATCCGACGTTCTTTGTTGCTAACCCACATTCTCATAATACCGACGATCCAAGCAACCCAACCATAAGTTTACTCCATGAGAATGGTTTCTCTTCTGGGGAAGAATGTTTCTTTTTTGACCAAATTTGTCGTCGATCTCGAACGGATGACTGTCTTCATTTCTGGAGTGCGGACATACAGAAGCCTCATGACGACTTTGTCCGTGACATTCGTCATAACATGTCTGCCATTGTTGAGATAATATGGGGTGAGAATGCATGGATGAAGACGAAGCAACAATGCCATCTCATCCGCTTCCCTCTGTGGGGTAAACTCAAGGATGTCAGGCTCTATCTTGAGGTGAAAGCTGAAAAGCTCAAGCGCTTTGTGTTTTGGGTGCACCACCCTCAATTCTTTTTCCGCCCTAGACGACAAACAACAACAGGCGGCGTTCCTAACCGAGTCATCCAGGCTAGGGTCCAAGATTCGGCACTAGACTTCGCCAGCAGGCTAGTGGGCCTTCGAATTAAGCCAAATTTCTACGAGAACCACCCACGAGGAAAGTACCCCCGTCTCAAGCCAGATCAAGCTCGGGCTTGCCAAGCATTAGAAAACTTGTCAAGGATCGAGCTAAAAGAAGCCTTCCCACTTAAAGCCGGCCAACGAGAACAGTCTCTAGTACGAGGGAAAATTCAAAATGATACAAACGGGAGAAAATTGGAGCATGAGCAACTGCAAACAATATTGGAGGAACTCAAGAATAGACAAGCGACCTTACAAGACTCTCATAATGACCTAAAAGGGGAGGAACCGCCAAGTTACAGAGGATTTTCTGTGAGTGAAGCACGGAATTTGGAGGTAAAATCGAAGTGTTTAACTGAGAAGTGTAGAAATCCTGGGGAGACAGAAAGGAACAAATTTACTACCTATTGCAGTCCTGGTTTGATGTTTGCCGATCGCTCGAGGGGAGCACATCAACCTTTGACAACTCAACTCCTGACGACTCGATTCTCAATGACTCTTCATGGTTTCTTCTGTGCCCAAAATTGATTAATTGGCTTCAGAGCCAGGATGGTCTCAAAATCGATGGCAAAGCCATGGAAAGCCGCGAAGAGATTGAGAGAGCATTCTGGCTTCTTCGTTGTGACGAAAGAAAACTCCACACTGGATGCATTCAGACTTCACCAATCGAAGAAATTGCCATAGAAGTTGGATTTAAGTACACTGACTACGCGTGTCTTTACAAAAGAAAGTCAATTATCTTGGCGTGGGCGATACCTCTTCCACAAATCATTCCCAGGGAGTGTGGAACCTGTAAAGGTCGAGTTCTGGACGACGCATTCCCTTATTTCGCAAAGACTAAACCAAATGTTTATCTTGTTAGATGCCATCAATTCAAGGGATGTGGACTTCCAGAATGCAAAGGCAGTGTGGCCTTGTTACCATCTGATAAATGGCAAGACTCAATGAAACCCAGCAAAGAAGAGTTGGAAAATCCTCGGGGCCAGCCCAACGGTCGGGCAGACTGGACATCGTTCTTCTGCCGCTCTAGAACCGAGCTCGGCGAACTCCCTAAAACCGTCCAGACGAGATGTAAAAGCTGTGGTGCGCCTAGATTGGAACGAAGGGCCCGATGGACGATTGAAAGGAATTCTCGATTCGTTATCCCAATCCTCAAATGCCAGGAGGTCTCTTGCAAGGGATGTAATCGAGCGTTCCTGCCGGTGGAAAATTTCAGAACTATTAATTCAAGTGCTTTTTCAAAGTATTGGACAGAACTCACAAACGAAGGCTTTGACCCCACAAATGATACTTCATTAAGAAACAGTTTTCTCGACAAGTTGAACCTTTGCAGTATGAGGGACGCACTTAAGATAGCGCGACGAAGGCGCCTAAACGCAAACCAGAAGAGGAAGAGATCTTTCTCGGCTTGAAAGACTCTAGAGCGAAATCCAAACAAAGTTGCCACATACACGGAAAGATCGAGGCTAGCACAGAGGGAACACCGTCGGTAAAACGAATAAATGTTTGTGTGACCTATACCTGTTCATTTTCCAGAGAGCTTACAGCGAGGTGGTAGTTGGTAGTGATAATGGTCGCCTTATTATCATCTCTTTCAGCCTAATTTTAGACTCTCACATATATCACCCGCACTCACTCTTAGGCAGAACCTACTGCTACCTTAAAGAATAAGTATAATGAGGGCAGGTTCAGAATCGACTATTCACAATAGCTGACCGGACGGGAAGCCCCATTTTCACTGCCTTTCATGTTCCGGAATTATCCTAGGCTTAACTCTTACTGAAATGCTACCCGAGGCTCTAATAAGGCTTATTGTACCACAAAGCCTACACATGCTATATTATATTCGACTAGCGGATGGCCAGATTGAAGTTGACGCACTACATAAAAACGCTCTTCTCCGACCGATTTATTGTATGAGGGGGTACCGAGCTTCCATTGTTCACCTCACATGTTTCTTAACCTGCAGTACCCCCTCTCCTTTTAGATATCCATATATATCTTAGAGGTAGGAGGCAAAAAGCACTAAAAGAAGGAAACCTTTCTCATTAAGTGACCACATGCCCCTGGGGCTATTTAGTTCTACATGTTTCTCTTGCCCGGTTTTCACGACCATCACCCCTTTCTTTTCATACAGCTGGGCTGACATAGCGGGAATATGCCTTAACAAATGAGAAGTGTTATTTTGCCAATGCTCTAACAGAGCTTAGCCATACCCCTGTTCCTCGTCGTTGGATTTAGGAGTGGCAAAGAGCTGAGATGGGTGTCTGACTCGGCTTGTGAGCTGCATATCCCGAGCCTATTACCTGCGATCCTGAAGCTATACAGGGAGTGTCTGAGATATTCACTTGTTTTGCCACTATTGGCTTTGGTCTGTCTTGCTCCAGCCTCTGCCATGCAATCCCCCTACCAAAGTTAATTAGATTAGCATGATTATATTGCTGCGTTTGTTTTCTCCAAAGGAGTAAAGATCGACACCTTGAATTTGCCACATTAGCCGGTTTCGCACCTCGATGTGGTTCTATTTTGAATCCCTGTGTAAGGCTGATGGTGATCCATATGGATGAGTTGAGTAACGGGGAACCCAGCTATGACGTAACTCATGATGTCACAATACAACAATCAACATTGGTCAAACAACCCATCTGATATCATGTCATATCAGGGGGAGGGAGCCAGGAGGACCACCGGTGAGGTCATTGTCCTCTAGAATGTGTAAATAAATATCTATATATGAAGCCATCATCTTCCATTGCCGCCAATGCTGTCAGCCAACATCTAACCCAATAAAGAATTTTTTATTCCGTCTACTTTCTATCTATCTATCCATAACTCTTCTCTTTTTGATTCAGTTCATCATGACTAACGTCATTAACAAAGTGAAGGAGGCCGTCAAGCACCACGGCGACCACTCTTCCCACAACCCGAACACCTCCA